AGGAAGGTGACTCCGAAGCCTGCGAACGCAGCCACAAGGCTACATTGAGTATCCTCGACAAGAATCCGCACACCTACTATTGAGAAATACCTGGATTTGCACAAAAGAAGTGTAGAAGTGCAGTATGAGCGCACCACAGCGGTGCCCAGTAAGTATCAAGACTAACATCGGTGGAGAAGTGACGAGGAATAGTCAAGGAATCTACTGGTCTAATAAACTGAATAAATATAAATATAGAATCAATAGAACATGATATCTATATAAAGATTACGCGATGTGGCTAACAATACAATAGTTGCAATAAGGAAAAGAAAACAACAAGTAATAGCGAAACACCATAATAAGAACACAGAAAAATGAACGGAAATACAACCTAAATCCGAAATCACAAATACAGTAAGGTTAATTCATAACTTAGCAACTACGACAGTCTTCACATTAGGTCTTAGCCAACAAACTTTAATCAATTAGTCAAATCCTTCAAGTGATAAAATATTTTGAAATATACTTGCTTTAACTGAATAGTTTTCAAAAATAGTTCTTTCAAATTAAATACCTTTTGAATATGATCTTTCCAAATAAATATCCCTTCGAATATGAGTCACCTTGTGACACCTCGTCTGATAATCATACAATACGGGTCTCAATACTTGAACCCTAACACTTGGCATCTTGTGCCCTTATCACACCTCAAAATCATACTGACAACTCACGTGCCAAATACAGCCATTCTCACATTGAAGGTAGATAAACATGGGTGTACGTCTATACTCAGCAATATAAAGAAGCATCCTATCCGATAAGGGTGATTAGCGATGTGTATAATTGAGAAAATATCCTAACATAGTTCGTGCCAGCTAATAAGCATAAGGAAGGGAACGGACATCACATAAAATGTTTACACAGGGATAGGATCAATGAAAAGCACAACTCAGAACACAATGATAATAATAGAGGATCTCCCAGGATAGTTTCCCGTAGTCCCAAACATAAATGTACAGGGGGGTCTCTCGGAATACTATTCTGTAGTTTCCAAAGTACCGGGAATAGAGGATCTCCTAGGATACCGTCCCGTAGTCCAAATCGTAAATGTGCAGAGGATCTCCCGGGATACCGTCCCATAGTCCAAATCGTAAATATGTAGGGGGAGCTCCCTGAATACCGTTCCATAGTCCCAAAGTAAATATGCAGTGCAACAACAAGTGATAACAATTACAGTACGACAGAATACTCGTACATCAGCACAACACATACAAAATCAACAACGACTATAATACAAGGTATGGCAAGTAAATCAACTCAAGAACTATAAATCACAAAGATACGGTAGAATCAATTCACAAGGAATAACTACAAAAAGAATACTAGGCATAAAGGGAAATGGTTCAACAAAGGGAAAACTAACATGTAAGAACGATACCACAATATACAAGTCAATCACAAGGAATTCAACACGAGTCAAGTAGTCCTAACTAAAGGCAAGTCAACTAAGATATAGGTTATCTAATCTCCTTTTTAATGTTGGACAATTACGAGGATAAACGACAATTCAATTAAGGAAGTATTATCTTAGCTTCACTTAAGACTAATCAATTTTGCGAGGGATAATAATAGTTCTCACATAAACAAGAAGTTATGAAAAGATAGCATGACAATAGGAGAGGCGAAATTCTTCAGTTAAATCAAATAGGAGTTAGTTAGGCAATAGGAGTGAATCATGAAGCAATTAATAGCAATAAAGCATGTAGAGGTGAAACTAGTAAATAGGAAACTCAGTCATATCAATGACTACTTCATACTCAGTGAATATGACGACCTAAGAACCCTAAAAGACCAATTTCCCACAAATAAGTCCAAGTATGCACTCTTCACCTTGCGTATATGAACTTCAATCAACATAGAAGACTCAAATCCTCAGGTGAAGTCCCCCACACAAGGTTAGATAGGATACTTACGTCAAAGACGACAGTGAGATACTCTAAAATGCACTTCTTGGGTGAAAAGACATACGAACATCTCAAATCCAACCAAAATAACTTTAATGCATAAATAAAATGCATAAGCAACTATTTCGGATCTTAAAGTCTCAATCTTTAACAAACCTCAAAAATTGGTCGAAAAGTCGACCCCCCGGTCCGCATCTCGGAACCCGATAAATTTTACAAAAAATCGAATACCCATTTCGATACGAGTTCAACCATAAAGAATCTATCGAATTCCAATACCACTTGGTCTTTCAAATCATGTTTTTTCATTTTAGAAATATTCTTCAAAAACCAATATTTTCCTCAACCCAAAACACAATTATATGATAGAAACAAAGATACAATCATGGAATATATTAAATTATAGGTGAAGAACACTTACACATTCAATTTATCTTAAAACCCCCAAAAGAAGCTCTTAAAATCGAAGTCCATAAGATAAAATATGAAGAAAATGGCCAAACACTCGATTTAAATATTTCTACTCAATATTTTAGGATCTGCGGGCAATTAAGTGTGTCTACGAGAAAAGAGTTGCATCTGTGAACTCAGCTAACCAGGCAAGGGACCGCATCTGCAGATTTACAGCCGCAACAGCAGCACTGCAGAAGCGAAATAAGAAACCGCAGAAGCGGGATTTCACCGCAGGTGCGATCGCTGGACCGCAGAAGCGGCTTTCGCACCTGCGTGCTAGCCTCTATAGAAGCAAGAAAGCTCCCACGCCACCATGACCGCATAAGTGGCATGTCTCGTGCAGAAGAGGGGCTTTACTTGTGTTCCAATATCCCAGGTGCGAAAACACGAGAAATCAGACATGCTCAAAAATCATGCAAAACATCCGAACTCGTCTGAAACACACCCGAGGCCCCCGGGACCCAGTCTTAACATATAAACAAGTTCCATAGTCTACAATGGACCCGCTCGAGGTCTCAAATCACATCAAACGCTATCAAAAATGCAAATCGCGCCATGAATCAAACTATGAACTTCCAAATCATCCAACTTGAAATCTCACGCCGAAACCTATCAAATCAACCCGGAATGATACCAAAATTTGCAAACAAGTCCAAAATGACACAACAGAGCTGCACCACCTCTCAGAATTGCATTCCGACCCCGATATCACAAAAGTTTATTATGGGTCAAACTTCTCCATTTTCCAACTTTCGCCGAAATGCCTCAAATTACATTACGAAACTCCAAGTTCGAATCCGAACGCACACCTAAGTCCAAAATCATCATACAAAGCTGTTGAGATCATCCAAAACTCATTCCGGAGCTGTTTACAAAAAATTCAAATTCCAGTCGTATTGTCACTACTTAAGATTCTAAAAATAGATTCCTTCTTCCAATTCGGTTCTGATCATCCAGTAACTGAATATAACTATGACTGCAAGTCGATACACATAATATGAAGTTAATCAAGACCTTACACCGCTGCACAAAGCTTAAATTCTCAAAACATCTGGCCGGGTCGTTACAATGTCTATAAGCCTTCTAAGAGTAACTGCTCAACTGAACATAAGGACGGGACAAGGCCTCGCCAGAACCATATATAAAACTAAAAATACCACTATACTCGCAACTACAGAACAAAGGAATGCCTTCGAGTTTGCTACTTGTTGTCCTACTGATGACTATCATTTCTTAATCTACCTAGACCTGCGGGTGATAGGTTGGTATTTTACCAACTTATCTTGTCTCTAAGCTTATATTTTTGCTATGTTTAAGTGATAAAATTATGTGTTTAATTTTGTTTACTTCTATATTATAAGTTCTATGTGATTTAGAAGTGATCATGCAGAAAATAAGTGAAAATGAGTCAATAAGAAGTTTAAAAGAAGAAAATCTGAAAAATGGCCTCAGATGTCACAATTGCGACTTAGATGTGGGAAATGCAAAGAAAACAGTGTTCACAAATGCGAAAAGTACTCCGCAAATGTGAAGTCAACCCAACCAAGCAGGGTATGCAAATACGAAGGAAAACCAGACAGTCAAACTTCACAAATGCGAAGTCTTTACCGCAAATGCGATAGTCAACCGGAAAGCCATTGCTCGCAAATGCGAACATTGATTCGGAAATGCGAAAGTCGCGCTTCAGTTCTGGGTACTTATGTAATTTCAATTTTTTTGGCCCCAACCCATTTAATACCCAACCTAGCTTATTTGTAAAACATCTTTGACTAATCGTTGGCGGCCTTTACACAACTTGAGAAGAGAATACAAGTTTTGGAGCTAGGGTTTTTGCAAACACACTCGGGTCTTGATGATTTGAAGCTTTTGGTTGAGAATTTCTTACTCGTTTCTTCATTTTCTTGCTTTTTATTGTATATCTAAGAGTGTAGTATTTTTTCCAACACTTTAATCTTGCTTAGGCGAATATTCATATTTAAAGTGTGGATTAAATATGTTGTTATGCTTATTTATTGAACGATTTTTGTTTATTATGAAGTGAGTTATTGTTTCTTTAATTATTCTTGTTCTTTAATATTTTCAAAGGGATTATCTAACCCTAGGACTCGCCCATTTACTTCGAATTAATTTTGTAAAAGATAATTTGTGGTTGGGAAAGATTAATTAACAAAAACTTGAGGTTTTAACCCTCATTTTATAGATTCTACCTAGGGATAGGATTGAACTACTTGTAGTGATATTCGAGTGTGCTTAATCTCTTAATTGTTTTAGAGATAATTCAATTAGGAAGTCTTATTAGTCTTTGGAAGAAGCTAATATAGAATTATTACCCGAGGCTAATTAGCATAAACTCGTTCATATTTATAAAATCATGAAATACATTGGATCGTTACTTGAGTGTAATTTTCCTTGTATCCATACTTGTAGCTATTGATCATTTTACTTGCTTTCTAGGTTAGTTTACATTTTCGTAATTAGACATAAATATTTTCTCAAAACTTTTCTAAGTGTCACGACCCAATTTCCCCTCTGTTGGGTTTCGTGACAGCACCTAGTCTTAAGGACTAGGTAAGCCTAATATATACGGAAGAACAACAATAATAAATAACATATTAAATTTCTTCTTGAATGAATCATTTATACAATGAACATATTCCTAAATCCCGGTAGTACAAGTCATAAGCTCTATAGAGTTAGCTACCACGTTTAAATATAACTGATCGGAAAAGAATGAAACAATTGAATACAAGTAAGAAGGTGACTCTGAAGCCTGCGATTGCAGCAACTTGTTTACCTTGAGTCTCCTCATCAATGATCCACACAACTACTAACGATCGATACCTGGATCTGCACAACAAAAATGTGAGGAAGAGTAGCATGCGCACACCACAGCGGTGCCCAGTAAGTATCAAGACTAACTTCGGTGGAGTAGTGATGAGGACCAGTCGAGACACCTACCGGTCTAATAAATTGATCAAGTATAAGTGTAGAACAACAAAACATAATATCTATGTAAGGGCTACGCGGTATGGCTAACAACATAGTAATTGCATTATGGAAAGATAACTGCAAGTAACAGCGGAACCCATAATAAGAATACAAAAAAGTGAATGGAAATGCAACCCAACTCTGAAATCACAAATACCGCAAGTGATAAAAATGTTTCGAAATATATTTAGTTCCAATAAATATTTTCCAAAAATAGTTCTTTGAAAATAAATATATTTCGTATATAATTTTCTCGAATAAATAACCTTTGAATACAAGTCACCATGTGACACCAGATCTCAAAATCATAAAATACAAGTCTCAATACCTGAACCCTAACACTTGGCATCCTGTAGCCTCATCACATTACATAATCATACTGACAACTCACGTACCAAATAGGGTCATTCTCACATAGAAGACAAATATGCGTCTACACTCGACAATACCAAGAAGCCTCATATATGATTAGAGTGCTTAGCCATGTGTATACTTGTGCAAGTGTCCTAACATAGTTCATACCAGCTACTAAGTGTAAGGAATAGAACGAACAACACATATATTGTTTACACAAGGATAGGATCAATGAAAAAAATAGTTCAGAGCATAGAGATAGCAACGGGGGGATCTCCCAGGATATCATCCTATAGTCCCAACGTAAATGTGTAGGGGGATCTACCAGAATACCGATCCGTAGTCCCAAAGTAAATATGCAGTAGGATCTACCGGAATACAGATCTGTAGTCCCAAAGTAAATATCCAACACAAGGGGATCTACCGGGTGTCATCCCGTAGTCCCAAAATATAAATGTGCATGGGAATCTATCAAAATACCGATCCGTAGTCCCAAAGTAAATATCCAGTACAGGGGGTTCTACCAGGTGTCGTCCTGTAGTCCCAAATATAAATATGCAGGGGGATCTACCGGAATACCGATCTGTAGTCCCAAAGTAAATACGCAACGCAACCAACAAAAACATTAGGTACAGCACAATAGAAAACTCGTACATCAAAACAATATGTATAACAACAACAATGACAATAATACAACGTAAGACAAGTAAATCAACTCAAGGACTGTAAATCACAGGGAAACGGTAGAACCAACTCACAAAGAATAACCACATAAAAGAATGTTGACTTAAAGTGAACAGTTCAACAACGGGAAAACTAACATGTAGCAACGATCCCACAATATACAAGTCAATAACAAGGAAATCATTACGAGTCAAGTAGCCCCAAATAAGGCCAAATCAACAAGGATATTGGTTATCAAACTCCTTTGAAGGTTGGACAATTTCGAGGATACTCGATAATTCAATTTAAGGAAATATGATCTTAGCTTCACTTAAGACTAAATAATTTTAGGAGGGAAAATAATAATTCTCAAATAAGACAAGCAGCTATGAAAAGATAGCACGACAATAGGAGTGGCAAAATTCTTCAATTAAGTCAAATAGGACTCAATTAGTCAATAAAAGCGAAACATGAAGAAATTAATTCCAATTAATCATGTCGAGGTGAAACTAGTAAATAGGAAACTCAATCAAGTTAAGAACACATTCATACACAGTGAATATAAAGACCTAAGAACCCTAAAAGGCCAATTTTCCATAAATAAGTCAGAGCATGCACTTGTCACCTCGTGTACCCGAACTACAATCAACATAGAAGACTCAAATCCTAAGGGGAAGTCCCCCACACAAGGTTAGGCAAGATAATCATCTCAAAGACGACAGACCAATACTCTAAAATGCACTTCTCGGGTGAAAAGACCTCTAGACAGCTCAAAGATAACCAAATTAACTTCAAAGCACAAATAAAACACATAAGAAACTATTTCGGATCATAAAGTCTCAATCATTAAAAAAATCCAAAAATCGGTCCGAAAGTTGACCCAGGGCCTGTACCTCGGAACCCGACAAATTTCACAAAAAACCAAATACCCATTCTGATACGAGTTCAACCTTACAAAATTAATCAAATTCCTATACCATTTGGTCCCTCAAATCACGATTTTCCATTTTAGAAATTTTCTTTCAAAACCAACATTTTCCTCAACTCAAAACACAAATTAAATGATGAAAATGAAATAAAATCATAGAATCTGTTAGATTCTAGGTGAAGAACACTTACCCAATCGATTTTTGTTAAAAACCCTCCAAGAATCGCTCAAAACCGAGCTCCACAAGTTAAGATATGAATAAAATGGTCTAACACTCGATTTTGGGATATATTTTGTCTGCCCAGGCATTTGTGCATTGCGAACGTGAAGAAAGTATCGTGTTCGCGAAGAAGAAAAATGAAGGTTGCCCAGGTTGCTCATCGCGAACGCGACAATGCGTTCACGAACACAAAAAAGGAATGTCTGATGGCCCAAAGACTGCTCTTCGTGAACGCGTGAACTAGTCAGCAAACGCGAAGAGTGGAATGGCAAAATCACGCGATCGCGAGGGACAGAAGTGAACACGATGAAGGAAGAGACAGAGCTTCGCAAATGCGAGGCATGTTACGCGAACACGAAGAAGGAAAATTAAGGAGACCAGCATAGACTCTTCGCGAACGCGGAAGGGGCTTCGCGAACGCGAAGGAGGATATCAGACACTAGAAAATAGCAGTTCAAAAACAAGGGAAAATGACTCGTAGCCCACCCGGAACACACCCGAGGCCCCCGAGACCCCGTCTAAACATACAAATAAGTCATATAACCTAACATGGACTTGCTCGAGGTCTCAAATCATATCAAAAAGTTCCGAAACGACGAATCACACCATGAATCAAACTTAGGAACTTTCAAACCTTCCAACTTCCAAAACTCGCGTCGAAACCTATCAAATAAACTCGGAATGATGCCAAACTTTGCAGACAAGTCCAAAATGACATTGCGTAGCTCCTCCAACTCTCGCAATTGCATTCTGACCCGATATCATAGAAGTCAACTATGGGTCAAACTTCTCCATTTTCCAAACTTCAACTTTTCCAACTTTCACCGAAACGCCTCAATTTACCCTACGGACCTCCAAATCCGATTCCGGACGCGCTCCTAAGTCCTAAATCACCATACAAAGCTATTGAGATCACCCACAATCCATTCCGAGACCGTTTACTCAAAAATCAAATTCCTGTCAAATTCTTTATCGCTTAACATCCAAAACTAGTTTCCATCTTCCAATTCAACTCCGAACCATCTGGTGACTGAATTCAACCATGAACATAAGTCTATACACATATTATGAAGCTATTAAGACCTTATTCCACTGAACGGAGCTTATATTCTCAAAACGACAGGTCGGGTCGTTACATCCTCCCCCTCTTAAAACCAACGTTTGACCTCGAAGATGCCAAGATTTGCCTCAAAGTCCTCACGTAGCTAAATACACACTTCTAACATACAACCACGAGTGATCCCACGTCAACCCAATCCACCTAAACTTGACGACACCATCTCAACATGTTTGCCGTGAAAATGGTTACAATAATTAAATTTGTAAATGAGATTCTAAAAATACGTGATCTATTCTCGAGCTAGTTGTTAGAGCAGTTAATGCTAAGAATGCTAAATTTAATGATGAAATGCGAGGTAAAAAGAGGTAGTAACCAAACCAAAGGTGGGGGCTGTTGCCCGGATGTAGAGATGGTCGATGGGACCTCGGGGTCGGCGTTAGTATCAATCTTGAACTATCGGGGATAACCGGAGATGGGATAACAGTTAAATATATAATTAGACAAGGCTATTTCGGCCGATATTAAGTTATATAATGAAGAACAAGTTAAGAGGCGATGAATTCGGAGATGGCCTCAAGCCAGTACCAAGTAATAAACAAGAAGAACGAACAAAATAGGAGAAAGGGAAGAAATAGAGCAACCTCCGCCCTTTACAAAGTGGTATGGGTTCCCCTTATATAGGCAATGGAACATGGTATGGTACAAATATGTGGAGATTAAACACAAAGTACGGAGATGGGATGGTTTGACGTGATGCCTCAGCATAGGCTCTGGATAGGCCAGGCCTGTCAGACGTAGCCATGTGCCTTGGGGGATTCCCCCTCCGACCTGGCTTCGGTCTTTGTTTTCTCCGAGTCGGGCTCCGACGATCCCCGAGGTCGAGAACTTGGTCACTACCTCCCGCCCTCTGAGTCCCAAGGCATGCTTCCGAAATGTCCCGACAACGAGAAATCAAGCCTTTTAATTTCTCCACATACAGCTAGTCTCCACGTTTCCCATAATGAAGAGATGGGCAATGATTCTAACACTTGACTCCTTGAGCTTCTTTTGGCAACGACGTACCAATTATGCGACTCCTGGCCTGAGCTTCGCAGTGATTGGACATCCACGTGCTCGTGATTTTCAACTTAATTCATTGCATTCCTAATTCTCATTTTTTAAGGTGAAGGTACCACCGTTGGCTCGATTTTCCATGGATGCATTAACTGCGTCCGTCGGTCAGCCTTCCAAGGCCTAGATGACCGTGTCGTAATCTCCTATCAATGGGGGTGCCTCGACTTTGATTTTCCTATCCTAGAGCTTTCGTTGGCTCGCTTACCTTTCACTTCTTATCATATTCTTCATCTTCTCCGGTGGGTATCCCTCGAGGGATTGAGTTTGGAACCTATGGGAGGATGGATATCAAAGGAGTCATCCTCAAGGATGCATTCTAGAGGGTACGACGCCCGAGGATGCTGATACCGGAGATGGACTCTCGAGGACGGACTAGGCACCGGGTTTCATCGCATGTACACCCTTTCATTCCTCCGCTTTGGGCGTAGACTCCTGTGGGCTTTTTCAAGTTGTATGTATCGACCTCTCGAGGGCTGCTTGTACACAAACTTTTATGAATAAGAGTATACCCCATTGATTTT